AATTAAACAAGTAGAACTTTATTTAGAGTGTTGCACTGAGTAGAATACACACGATACTGTCCAGGGCTGTGCAGTTTGTTTTCCCAGAGCAGCAGACCATCATGCATGGTCAGGGTCCCAGCCTTCGCAAGGGCAGGTGTTGGACACTCAGAGAAAACATTAAACTCTTGTCCCTTCTCACCGCTGCTGTGTCTCTCCTTGTACCTGAGATGCAAAACTACATGTTTGGTTGAACATGCAAAAAGAAACAGTATTTTTGTTTCATGCCAATGTCAGTAAATTATGACAAGTGATATGTAGATGGACATAACTTCATTGAGGTATGTGCTGCTCATAATGATAATGGTTCCCTGGTCACACCCGAAATAAGGATTGTTCCTCGTTTCAGAGTCACTGTTCTGATCATATTGACTTAAACTCATTCTCTTTACATTTACTATCTGGACCTTTAAATCAAAGGATAATCTCTTTCCTATCAAAAACAAGAAAAACAGGTCTGTCAGAAAACATGGAATAATGCAAGCAGGCTTTCTAGTTTAATCTAAAGGTGACTTGGCTTGTAATGACTCAGAATGCATGTTTGTTCTAGTAATCCAGATCTGTTTACAAATTGCAGGATGAATTTGATCCATTCAAAAGCACTGCAACGTCAAGAAGAACTAAGTGATTTTTTTGACTCACTACACAAGAGAGAAATGTGAAAATTAGAGAAGGAAATGGAAAGCAGTTTGCAAGGCATTCTCTATGTGGCATTTCTCTGTAAATGATGGCTTGCCTTTACTTTTCACTTTTATGAAATGTTTTTTGTTCAGGTGTTTTTTTTTTTCCTCTGGCACCAAATTTGGTATAATCTGGGTGTTGCATTGCTTAATGCATTACATTAGAGTGTCTAATATTCTGAAGTACTGCCTGAAACTGAAAGTTCTTTCTAAAACTTCTAAAAGCCTGTTTTCTTTCTGGGATGACAATGTAAATAACAATCATATCTTTTATAGAAAACTCCATCTCTTGGGCTTGAATTTTGCCAAGGAGTAAATTCGTAGTGGTATGCAAGTAGGGATGTGGACACGGACTCAGCATAACAGAACTTGTACTTACTTGCAATTTTCTGCAGATAGAGTTGAAAACTCTGAAGAGTAATAGTTTGACCCAAAAATAGTTTTCAATATTGAAGCTGGAAAATGTTCCAATACTTTCAACTCTACTAGGAGAGCTAAAGCCACTATTGCACCGTTATTAAATGTCATAGCATACAGTAACAAATTCTGTTCTGTAACTCAAGAAGTGCCAAAGATTTCAGATGGAATTGCATTGTCAGCTTTTACCCTGTAAATGAGATGTAAGGGTAGAACCTTACAGCTTCACAAGGAATGCTGCTTGAAGAATCAAGCTATTGAGCCAGTAATGGGCAGGACATTGCCTCTTGCCTTTTTCTTAGTTGACGTTTTTCAGGTATCATCTCCTCAGCCCACAGCTTCAGTAAACCTCCTAAAACATCGTCACTGTTTTCCAGATACTCTCCAAATGAGGCTTTTAAAACACAGTATTGTATTTGCAGTGGAGGAACCACTCCTCCTGTTGAAGGAGCCAAGACCTAGACCTATACCTCCTTCTCTCTTTCCACCTCTGTACACCCCACTCCCCAAAAAGTGCTGTTCTAAAACTGTGGCCATTAGAGCTCATCAAGGAAAAGGCCAGAAGAGTTCATCAGCAAACACCCAGCATGTCAGAGAAGCACTAAATGTGTTGAGTAGCTGTGGCCATGCCTTTGCATTTTTGCTGTCTTCTCCAAAGAGGTGGGATTGGGCAGCTGTGATTTCCCTGGCCCTCACTTGTACGTGACTGCTGTTACTTTGCCTCCATAAATGCTGTAGCAGGGAACAGCTTTGGGCCTTGAGCTTCCAGAAGACTTCCATAAAAATGATCAAGGCCTGCAAATTCCTAGCGTAGAGCTTAGTAGCAACTTACAGAGCAGCGCGATCTCTTTAGGTGTCAGCAAATAATTTGGTAGCCTGTTTTTTTTTCGTTTCATTAAGGACTGTCAGCTATAATATTATATCTATGCAATTTAAAAGCTGCTGTAAATACCCTTCAAGGTGGGGGTTTAGACTTTTTTTTTTAAAAATAAACTATTTCTGTTAAGTAAATTGTGAACGGCAGTTTTATGGGCTACACTAAATCTGAGAGATTGACGTTTTTTAAACACTTTGCTGCTTTATGTTGCCCCCCGTGTGTGTTGGGTCTGGCTGGGGGGGAGCAGCCCGTGGGGTGCTGGGCTCTGTGTTTGCAGCATGAAGGGTGTTGAGACCACACCAATGTTTTGGTCCTGCAGAGCAGTGCTCCACAGTGTCCAGGCTGTCTCCAACGCCCCAGAGAGGCCAGCAGGCTGCGGGGGGACACAGCCAGGCCAGCTGACCCCAGGGATATTCTGTACCCTTGATGTTATGCCCAGCAATAAACGCTGAAGGAAGGGAGGAGGGAGGGCTACATTTGTTATTGAGGCATTTGTCTTCCAAAGCACTCAGTACACCTCCTGAGGTGGCTGGATGTCACCTGCTGATGGGACATAAAGAGTAAATCTTCTTTATATGCTTTGCCTTCACGCACGACCTTTGTTTCTTTCCACTCACCTGCTTTTATCTTGAGCCACAAGTTTTTAATCTAATTTTCTTCCCATCTTGCTAAGGATGGGGAGTTGGGTGGCTTTATGGGCAGCTGGCAACCCCCGAGGTCAACCCACCACACCAAATAAAGCCTGTTTTGTTATAAAGAGTTAAATTGTCTACTTTATTGTTTCACTAATGTCTTAAGGGGACTTTATCTTTTAAAGTTGAACTGGCATGCTAAGCAAAGATTTTACAAAGTATATGGGATGAATAGGAATTGTATCAAAGGTTCTTTCCTCCTGCTTCACAATGTTTTTCCAGTCAACTGTTAAATTCACAGCAGATTTGTTTCTGGGGTTAAACTGCAGGCGTTCTCCAATTGTCTTGTATAGAAGACAAAGGTGGCATCTTTGGGGGGGAAAATGTAACCTGGTTTGTGTGGGAAGACTGTACTGTACACAGATACTGCTCATCCTCAGTGGGATTTATGATACGAGGGGTAAGATGCTCGAAAAATCAATGCTCTTTCTCAGAGATCACACTGGATCCAGAAGTGACTGGAAAAGTCACTTCTCACTCATGTAACTTCCAATCCACCTGCCCCAGAAAGCTCAAATGTTCAGCAAAGCCACAGTAGAGTGAAAGAGACAGGAAAACTCCTGGAAAAGCTGGAATTGGGCAATTTTGTGGAAGAGCTCGATGCTGGCAGCAGGTTGCAGAGGAGTGCTGTGAGCTGGCTGTGCTGCCTGTCCCCCTGTTCAACTCTTGAGCAGTGGTGAGGAGAAAGCAGCCCGAGTGCTTCACCGGGGGAGTCACAAACATCTTCTGGAAGTGTTATTTTCACCAGTGAGTGACTGGCTTTATAATATAAGCTTTTCAGATAATAGTCTTTTAATTGATAAAACCTTTTTGTACAACCCCTGCTCTGGCCCAGGCAGATCTGTCCCCAGCAGAGGGACAGCACCTCAGACGTGCACTCATGGGGGGGCAGGTCTTTCTGCACCACGGAAGATTTGTAGCTCTTGGTCTCCTGATACTGGTCTTCGATTTCCTACTGTGTTTTTGGGGGGAAAGCCCAGGGAACGTGCTTGCTGCTGTCTTGTCAGTCCCTGGGTCTGGTGTATGGCTGCCTGTTGGTTTGGATACGGGACTGGCTGGGCTGGGACATCCCTTCCCATCCTCTGTCTCACATAATCACCTCTTTGTAGCTACCTCCGTGTTACTACAAGCCCGGTTTCACATCAACCTTTTTATTCCTAGAGGAAAGCCCTGCCAGAGGAAAGCTGTCTCTCTGAGGAAAAAAAAAAAATAAAAGGAAAAATACTGTCAGTACAGTAAACTAGCTTGTTATTCCAAATCATAGAATCATAGAATCGTCTAGGTTGGAAGAGACCCTTGGGATCATCGAGTCCAACCATCTACCCTACTCTACAAAGTCCTCCCCTACACCATGTCCCTTAGCACTGCATCTAAACGGCCCTTAAACACAGCCAGGGATGGGGACTCCACCACCTCCCTGGGCAGCCTGTTCCAATGCCCGACCACTCTTTCGGCTAATGTTCAATCTAAACCTACCCTGTTGGAGCTTGAAGCCGTTCCCTTTTGTTCTGTTGTTAATTACCTGTGAGAAGAGACCAGCACCAACCTCTCTACAGTGTCCTTTCACGTAGTTGTAGAGAGTGATGAGGTCTCCCCTCAGCCTCCTCTTCCTCATACTGAACAGTCCCAGCTCCTTCAGCCGCTCCTCATACGATTTGTTTTCCAGCCCCCTCACCAGCTTCATTGCCCTCCTCTGCACTCGCTCCAGCACCCGTTCCTCCCCTTATTGTGTGCCAGTTAGTGAGTGTTGTGCTGGGGAACGGGCTGAAACTCACCTGCCAGACCCTTGAAAGGGAGCTGAAATGTGCCGGGTGTCCTGGAGGAGCACAGAGCTGCCCTGCACGCTGCTGGCTTATAGATGGGATTTACATCAGGTGGGCTGCTGGTGGAGGAGGAGGAGGATGCTGAGGGCTGGGGAGGGGGGTTTGCCTTCCTCACCGATGTGCTCATCTGGGAGCAGGGGAGCGGGGCTGCGTGGAAGAGCAGCGTCAGAGCGGGAGTCATGCCACGCAGCCCAATGGCTGCAGAACATCCCGGTTGGGAGCTCACCTTCGGGGGGGGGGGGTGGAAGGGGGTAATAG